GGTTCATGGATGGTGATTCTCCCAGTCATATGATAATTTCATAGGTTTTGACCCATCCCCAACCGTTCCGCAGCTTTACACGCCAAAAGACCACCAAGCCAGAGATGTTGACGGCCGCTGATTGGCCTGTGGTCAACAAGACCTGGTGGCACAGGTCGCGCCATTGACGTGGGCCAGCTGGTGGTTTGCTGGGTAGTTTGGAGGCGTTGTCATCCCCATCGTCGTCATCATCATGATGATAATGTCATGATGATGATGATGATGATGATGACGACGACGACGATGATGATGATGATGATGGAGATGATGGAGATGGAGATGGAGATGGAAATGATATATTATGATGACATGATATATTGTGATGACATGATATATTGTGATCACATGATATATTATGATGACATGATATGTTTTAATGATGATTATAACGTCATGATATCGTCATCATCATGATAATTATGATGATACTGGTAAATATGATAAATTAATTGTGATATTAATGATTATCACTAATTATATAGTAATTATGATACTGATAAATTAATGATAATGATGATCATCATTGCCATGAGGAAAGACCCGGAATCCATCAGGGGTCGATGGAAATTCCAAGGAAGGTCCAAGAAGTGCGAGCATGGCACCTGCATGGCACCTGCATGGCACCTGTGGTGAAAAAAAAGTGGCTCTTACTGCGAGACCATCAGGTAGTATAAATCACATGGCTATGAGTCAAAACCTTGGGAATTTAGGTAGCCTTTGTCAATAAATCATCATTTTGGTCATAGCTGGTGAATGTGCATTCCCCTATGGTAATTTCCATAGGTTTTGGCATGTTTTGACCCGTTTCCTCACATTCTTAAGCTGATCCCCAGTCACAGGTCTCCCCACTGCAGATGCCGCTGCAAAGACTGTGGCAAGTTTCGCCTTTGACCCATGGATACATGGGGCTCGATGTGGGTCCCGACATTAGTTAACTTATTACCATTCAAACTATCGTTATGATAATATTACAATCACCTATCATCAAGAAAGCTAGTTCTATAACTATCACATACTATCAGAAAAAGCATCATATAACCTACTTGTAAAGCAACTTCATTGCTAACTATGGGCCACCACCTTGGTAAGTGTTGTTTCTTGAAGATGAGACATAGGGCCGGCTGAAAAATGCAGGAGTTCAATTGACCCACAAGGTGGCAAGTTTTTCAACCAAATCATCTAACCCTGATCCTTCCCAGTTACTGGTAGGTTTCCCAGAGCGCGTAAACGGTTCCAATCCATTTCAGTAAATGATTGGCTCCTTTAATTTCAGTTTTGATGTTGAGCTACGCATGTTTCTGGAGCATGTGTCCAGGCCGCATCTCGCAAGATGATGCCGTGATCAGAGGTGACTCTGTAGAAAATCCAGGAACATGATTTACATTTGTGCCGGAATTTCCATACGGTATCTATATTTATTTACAGGAGAGTATGTCATATGGAAGTCTTTGTTGGTGTAGCTCATCTACTAAAGTTCTTGAGCACCCCATTATCACATTTATGTATTAGGTAGGCAGACACAGGTGCTACACCACTTGCTATAGTTCTTTCTATGCATCAACAACGACGCCCATTTGGGACAAAACAGTGGGGTCCGGTTGTTCTTTTCAAATTGGTGTCCTATCATTTACCATTGGTTGTGGCAAGTGGTGTTGCCCCTTTATTCATCGACAAAAGCCAATGAGAACAAGCGAGGACAAACCTGTCTCCATTACCCCAGGATTGATGTGAGCAGTGTTCAGAATCCTGCTGTCATTCCATTTAATCCATAGCAGCCGATTGGATTAAAATTCCCAAGATATATGTTGGGTAGTAGAATCCCCAAACTAATCATTAAAAAACAGGGCTTTTTTTTTTGCATCGATGGCATGCCAAGGTGCCCAGTGGATAAAAGTTCGTTCAGTCGAAAACCAGACCTGCCAGCAGACCAGCCCCAAGTAGTGGTAAACCCAGCGGGAAACAAAGCTGTTTTGTCATAGGATCATGTTTAGAAAAACAGCTTAGATACCTGGTCAAGATCTGATCAAGATACCTGTTTAGATTCATGTTTTGTGTATCTTGATGAACAGGAAAACGATAGAAAATAAACTACTGCATCTAAAACAATCAATCAAAAGCAACACGGGAAAAAATGAAAAAAGGGTATCCAATCCAAATCATGATACTCTCGGGTACCCGAAAATACGAGGGTTTATTACAAGGATATTATGGAGATCCTCAGACTCAGCAACATTTGCTTGTTGGATGGGAAGAACCTTTAAAGTTTTACCTCAGTCAAGTCCGGATCTTTGTGTTTTATCTCGGATCATGACTACCCTCTGGTAATTTAACACTATAAGACTATAGAACATCTCCATTTTTAATAGGTACACCATCTATAAATGGGCCATTTTCCATAGCTATGTTAGTTTACCAAAGGGTACTGTAATGTGTGGCTATTGGCTATGAATCAAAGTCATTCAACGTTGTCAACTCATTGCCTTTTGTGGATCTGTGGGTCCTTTGGTAGCCTCAGCCACGCCATATCTACAGCTATATACAGTTAAATTGAATAAACCACGATGGCTCTACGCTTCGGTCTGATGAAACTAGATCAGTAAAGTGCACCAGAAATATCCAGAAATGGGATATTACATGACATGACTGGATAATATACGTATAATTCAATGGATACTTACCGGAATTTAACCCAACTATAGTGGGATTTGATATGGGATTTGATCAGATTTCAATAGCCTTGTGATTTGAAGCAAGGACAACATGGTTTTGGAGACTTCATGAGATTTCCCATCTGTTCAAAACAACACGCAAGTGTGATGAATGTTGATCATTACCTTGGAAAAGGACCTTGGTTTTTAGGGATGTGTTCTCACATTTGCCCTAAATGATTGAACCACGAGATCCTCAAAAAAAAGGGGGCTAAGCACAATTCCGTTTGTTGTTTTATCTTCACCCCGATTAAATAGATACAAATACATCATGATTAGTTTAAGGTCTGATTTTAATCTCTCTTACAGAAACATCATAAACCATAAGATTCACCTGGTGAAATCTGTGAAATACCATCTGGCAATCTAACATAGCTGTCAAAAATCACCATTTTGAACTAAATCATCTATAAATGGGTCATTGTCCATGGCTATCTTAAATTACCAAACGGTATTGCCAATTCATATCCCAATTTTGGTTGGTTCAATCCCTATAAACCACCATTAAATCTCATAAATTCCCATAAAATCACCATAAAATCACCATAAAATCACCATAAAATCACCATTAATATCGCATCCACCATAAAATTCACCCAGATTTTGTGGATGTCCACCTGTTCCTATCCATCCCTCGGCCAAATGTGGCACCTTGGGTTCCAGCTTCACCACCACCATCCTGGCTGGGATATCACTGACTAGACACATAGCTTTTTGAATACTTTTAGTATTGGTATGCTATATACCCTCTGGTAAACTAACAGTTTGCTATTGAAAATGGCTATTTATAGTGGATTTTCCCATTAAAAATTGGGATTTTCCATAGTTATGTTAGTTTACCAGAGGGTAGATGGTATTTAGATGGTATGCTATATGATGATAATTGTAGATATAGTATAGATATATTATCACAGATTTATATAGTAGACATTATACGTCAGAGACAATAATATTATATATGTATAGTTTTAGATATATTTATCTTAGAGATATATTGAATCATAGATGTGTTCTTTTTAATGATGTCGAATTCATGTAGAATCACAGTCAAGACCGTGTCTGCGGAGTTTCGCGGCGATCCGGACCGCCATAGAAGTTTGGAACGGCTTGCGTACTAGGGCTAATGTGGGTAAAACAATAATTATATAAACCACCCATGACTGGGAATGGTAAATGTATACCACCTATAAAAATGGTGATGACTGGGGGATAATTTTCATGGCATTGTTTCACTCACAATAAAATCGACTGAAGGAAGAAATTCATACAAATTCGGATATATATATATATATATGGCATACCCAAAACATCCCCAACAAGATTTGGGATGTTTCCTTCGTTTCATGCCCAACTCCATAGCTGCCTTTGGGTGCGGAAAATTTCCGACCAGCGTTTTTCCGGGAAGGTGTCCCATCTGAGCCAATGGCCAAGGAACGTGCCAGTGCCCTGCAGATTTTCATTTCCAGGGGTCAACTGCCGCCATGGATGGGGATTTAGTGACGAATGGATTCCGACAGCTAGTCGATTTGTTTTAAACATATCTAGCTCTACAAACACATGGGTTTCTTTGATTCATTTTGAGTATATGTATATATATATATATCAAAAGCATTCCATTTTTGGGTAATCAAGTTTGACTCAATCTGGCCCCCAACCTTGTTCGCGTATCGCTCACATATGCTCACATGCAGGGTCAACCCCATGTGTTTATTACTTTGGTGTGGAAAAAGGAACACAATTAAAATCAAACACCTGATAATAGCTACAATTAGTCATTGTAGGTATACCTCTCATAGATCAACATCTATTATGAAATAATAGCCATAGAATGCTATATAGCCATCCCTGGCGCGGCTTCGCCAGTTCGCCAGTTCACCATTTCACCAGCGGCTTTCAAACCACCCATCTGGAATAGCATTAAAAACCCTTGCAGATGATGAAGCAAATGATTGCAGATGATTGGATGAATCATGATGAGTGAATCAGTCAATCATTCAATTTTTTGTCATCCGAACCAGGATTCGATATGATTCTATGATCTTTCATCAAAACTCTCCCAAAAAAAACACTTAAAATCTATTGCGGACATCCCCCATGATATCCCATGTCCCCATATCATGCTTGGTACCTTCCCCAATTTGGGTATGGGTCAATACCTATAGATACATTTTTAGTGGGATGAACATCCATTTACCAGCTATTTTGGGGTTCACTAGGTACCAGGGTTTTGACCCATCCCCATTTCGCTCTAAGCAATGACTCAACATCCGGCCGTCTAAAAAAAGCCATTTTCACAAGTCGCGGATGGGATAGGAACGCCACGGCTCGCCGCCGTCACCTAGCCATGAATTTTTCATGAGACCCAGTCCTATTCAAGCTACAAATCATATCACAGATATGGAGGTTTCCTGAAATGGGGGTCCCCCCCAAATCATCCATGTTAATACAATTTTCCATTATAAACCAACAATTTTGAGGGAAAACCCCCATATATTACACGATTCAATCTTTACATTGCCTACTGCACATAGTTTCCACGTTGGGATTTCTCAAACGTTGTCTTTATTTTGGTCCCAGAAAGGATCCGATGTCCGTTCCGTTCTGTCTGAAGCTGATTCAGCTGCGCCTTTGAGGATGCATCCTGCATCCCCGTTTGTAAGTGCTTAAATAACCAAAGTATAACCCACGTGTATAGTTATAAGCCACATATGGCTGCAAGGATCATGAAACCGATTACACAAATCTAAGATATCAAAAGATAACAAGCACATAATGACCCATTACTTAGATATAAAAACATATAAAAACCACTTACTAACATATTATCTGGGATGCATCCCTAGGTCTAAAACCAGCACCAGCCCGGGCCCCACCGTGCCACCTGCTTCCTCCCAAGGCATGGGGCGCTGATGGCCACCCGCCAGTGGACCCAAGTAGTCACAAACCACCTGGCTATGGGTAATCCAATGATTGCAATGGTTATGTCATAAACAATGGTTGATTATCATAATGGTTATCCAACTAATAAACAATGGTAATCCAAGTAATCCAATAATTGCAATGGTTCTAATACAATAATATAAATCATCAAAAAACGATGGTTGATGAAGATATTTTCCCATGAAAATATATGAACATATGCTAGTTTTATGTAGCTTTGGGCTATCCACCATGTTTGGAGAGACCCTGATGATCCGAGATGTAGGAAAATCGTAACTCCCCAGGGCTCCCAATGGCCGGGAATATGGAGACCTATTGCTCCGAATCGCTCCATCGTAGACAACTACCAGATAGCAAGAGAAATGGTTTTGCACATGGGTATGTAATGTCACAATATGTCACCTACTCTGCTTTTGAGCATCAAAAGTTGGTTGGATTTGATCCACACTGTGTGGGTTTTCCGGTACGCCACTTGCCTGCACACATAAAGGCTGCTGCCAGGTTATATTCTGTTCAGATATTCACATACTAGCCATTCTGATGGTACTTGGTTTTGGTTCAGTGCCATCTGCGCATGCTTCAGAAATGGGGCTGCAACCACTTTTTGACAGCTTGAATCATAACATCGACCTCCAGTGTATCTGTGGAGGGCCATGAAGATCCTACAATAAGTCTGAAGTAACCAGTCACTACTAGTAGTCACAAACATGACCATCGATCACCCATCAGCCTGCCAGTCCTCGATGGTTGACTCGAGGAACTCGTTCAGACTGTAGTTCGTGGTCTTGTACCTCTCACTGACCTGCAAGATCCACCGACAGGAACTGAAAAAAATCAGTCCATGTGAGCCGCTAGGGCCTTAAAATTGGTGGATAGTGAGGCTTGGGTGGCTTACATGGCAATTGCTGTTTGTTGCTTCAACGAGCATTTGAGTACTAAAACAAGATGTAATTTTTCAGTAGATATACATATATTAGAGCAATCTCGAAAACCCTAGGTTCACGGAAATTAGGACATCCTCAGATTTGGGAAGGTCCCATCATGTCCCATCGCAGAAACCACACGTTTGTACAAGAATGGTATACCATTCTACTTCAGATGGATACAGTCCACCTAGATCCACCCATCCTATCGATAGCATTGATTTCAGGCAAACGGCAGCATGCAACAGCATCGACTCAGCTCTAAATATCATCAAATTATAGAAAATATACTATTAGATAGTATTAGTATGTTTCTCAGTCTCAATCATCTAATATAATATAAAATAGACTATTAGATACTATTAGTATCTTTAATAAGCATCTAATATGTTTACATATTATTCAAATATCTCTCTAAGATTCTTTGAGTCGTGACAGCCTGCTCCAAAATGAATTGTGCAGCTTCAACGATTCACAACACGACACAACGAGAATTCACACACCATAACACACCAATGTAGACCTGCCATGACTTGACCGCAAAGCCCTTTTTTTTGCCCTGAATGAAGTTGAAATGGCCAAGCAAAAATCCCATAGATCAAGAGGGTATAATTGCAGATTAAATCATCTGGTTGGTGAAATTCCCAACTGAATGGAAAAATAATCCAAATGTTCCAAACCACCAATCAGCATAATATAGTAAATACCGACTTTGAAAAGGAAAAGGCATACAGTAAGCCTACCCTCCGGTGAACGGCGGAAGGCTCCCAGCTTTCCCTTGAGCCCCCTGCGGTCGTGTGCCAACAATACACCGGAGAGCCCGGCTTCACGCAGTTGTCAGCCACAATTCCTGGGAGAGCGAACCGCTCCGGGCAGGGCCTTGACCCCGAGGCCTAGCCAAGTTCACCTCCACCGAGGCCTAGCCAAGTTGCTGCAGTTGGGAAACATCAATCCCAGCTCTTCCAGCTGTGACAAATCCTCGGTGACTCGGTGTTGGGAAAATGCTCGGCCTGAAAACAAAAAAAACTTGGGGAAGTTTAGAAATTCTGTCCGAAAATTCACTGTTCAGACTTTTTGGTAGCAGATCCTAGATGTCAGAGGCGCTTGTTGTTGTTCTACAGCAATTTTGGGGCTCTGCGGATCCTCGACTTCCCAAGTTCTGCCATCCGAGCGTCGTCGTGGAAGGTAGTACCACGCTGATCCATGAAGACCATATTTAAGCTCATATCCCCATGCTCCTGGGCAACATCGGGAAAATCTGTGAAATGCAGAGTATCCCCATAGCTCCATCTAGCTGGCAGCACAAGTCGTAGAGTCTCACATGAGGCGGGTAGGTTTGAAATGCAAAATGTGTGGAAAATCCTGCTGGAAAACACTTCAAAAGCTGACAAATTGACAAATGATAAATAAACCCCACGGATCCCAAAAAAGTTCTAATTGAAAAGCCATACGTGTATGTATATATATATATATACATATATATATATATAATGTATATATATATATAGGAAAGATCATCAAAGACACATCCTGAAAAAATAAAGGAACAATCTGTGGAACAACTCGCCTCAGTGAGCCTGGGGATCAGGTCTTTCACCTGACCGATCCAGACCTTCGCCCAGGTGATTCATGGCGATTCATGGAGATTCATCTGGGTACCCTCTGGTAATTTAACGTAGCTATTGAAGATGACCATTAATAGTGGATTTTCCCATTGAAAATTGTGATTTTCAATAGCTATGTTAAATTACCAGAGGGTAAATTATAATATTTCACTAACCTGAATAGTTCGGCCATTTGGGGATGATTCCCCGAATCCTAACCATGATTCCCAGTGTTCGGTCGAACAGTTCGGTCGTGATGAAATTTACCCAGGATTCATGGAGATTCATCCCATCCCCAAGGATAACTAATGATGATCTACTGGGGGATGAGTGGGCATCAATAGGGATGCCAACATGGAGGTTTCACTTGATTTCAGCAGTAAATCTGAGGAGATTCTCAGAAGAACATGTGATGAAAAAAGCGGTTTAAACTACAAATACTGCCATCTTACATCATCTTGTTATATATATATATATACGGGTGTATGTATATATATATTATATATATAGTATTCTAGTTAGATCTAGTTAGTAGTATAGTTCATTATATTTTAACATGTTCCATGTCTATGAATTCATGCTTGGCGGCCCTTTGTGACTAGTTACTCATTGACGAGGCCAAATGTGTTCATGATGCAACATGTTTTCTTTTTCTTCATTGAACATTCCTGACGGCCAATCTTGGTACCTTGCAAATTGCAAACATTGGAGAATTCGCAGCTGGCGTTTGTATCCCACTCATGGCAAAAGCAAAACTGCTACCTTCTGGTAATTTAACAGTTCGCTATGTTTTTCAATGTTTTTCAGGTAAATCATCGAACTAAAATGGGCCATGGCTTCCAGTTCGCAAACTGTCACAAATTACCAGAGGGTTTTCCTACCAAGGTTTCCTCAGATGGTCAACTTGTCATCGTTGAACTCCCAAGTCGCATTCCCAACTGAGAGCCAGACTTCCACAATGTGGGAGAGTCGACTCATGTCCTTGGACACAGCCCCATTTCGGAAATCCGGGATGGCACCAAGCCCAGAAAAATGACACGAACCACGCACCGTTTTTGTTATATCATAGTAATTATCTATTATCGATCATGTATTTATGGAATGCCCATCTATTCTCATTGCAGTTTGATACGGCCGGAATTCACAAAATTACTATAGGAAAATTCTAACATAGAGGCTGACACAACTTCACCGACTAACAGCTGGTCCCAGGGTCAAGTACATGCCTTGCAATGCAGGCGTGCACCTCATTGACAGTGTCAAGCCAATGTGTGGCAAGGTGGGGATATGTGGGGATCTAGCAGGCCTATTTAGATACCAAAAAAATCCAAAAGAGATGTGATATCTTGTGATATCTCCCAGACCTTGATAGTGCCTCTAAATCTACCATAGTTCCAGGGTCTTTCATCTCAGCATTCTTCACCCATACTGTCATCAGCTTCCACCCTCGTGTTATCGAGCTTGGATTTCCAGAAATCCAAGCTGTGTCTGTTGAACCAGTAAACCTGGGTGTGGTTTCCGAATGGGACAATTTTTTTTTCGGCCTTTCATGGTTTTGCAATGAAAGTTAAATGTCCATGCATGGTCATGCATTTTCCTATATTCAACCCATGTCAACTCCATTTTTGTGGTTAAGTCGAAAACCCGTACAAACCGAAGCATACATGGGCTGGCGTCAACAAATAGCATAGCCTCTGATACACATCACAAACATGGCAATTGGAATCCACAATTTTTATCTTTTCTATGTATTGTATTGTATTGTATTGTATTGTATTGTATTGTATGTATGTATATGAATAATTTACCTCTGGAAATAAAGGATGTCCATTGCCGTGCTTATTTACTGGAGGTTCATTCAGAATGCAATCGGGAAAAAAAAGTCTCTTTAAGTCTCCAAGTCTCATCCGAAACATCAGGACACCATGAATGCCGTCAATTCACCATATCATCATCAAACTATATATATATCATATTATGTATATATATATATATACATAGTTTAGCACCGTGGTTTGTGGGAAATTCTCATCTATGATCATCTATTTTTATACCCATCCCATCCCCAGCATCGCCAGCGCCAGCGGCCGCGGCACCGGGTCAATCTCCATGGAAGTGATCCGGTTGGCTCCCTGCAGCCGGGAATCCTCGAAGAGGATGGAGCCCTCAGCGAACCTCAGCGATAACGGACTCTCCGGTAAGGCCACTTAGCTAATCTTAGAACATATTCATTGGTAACAATTGGTAATGCATGGGTCATTAAATGTCCCCATTGAACATCACCCAACCATTAGGTATATGGTCTATAATGGCTACTATAAGGTGATGTCCAATATACCCAAAATGGGACAGTTACCAACCCCTGTAATAATGTTGGTAATTAACTATTAATTAATTATTGGTTAAATGTTAATGGTAATAATTATAACTATTGGCAATTAACAGATAACTCTCCGGTAAGAACTGGTAGTAATTAACTGGTTACCCTCTGGTTATGACTAACAAATCGCCATGGACAATCCCAACCATAAATGGAGGTTTATAGCTGGGAAAATCATCTATAAATGGGTCATTTTCCATGGCTATGTTAAATAACCAAAGGGTAAATGTTGAATTTTCTGTTATGTATTAATAGATTACCCTCTGGTGAACGTTTACATAAGAAAATCACCACTGTTCGTAAATCAACTCTAAATGTGCCATTTTCAACAAATAGGATAAACATGTTCAATAGCTATTTTAGTTTACCAGGGTACCCTGCAAGGAAAGAGCTAAGTACTTGATTCCCCACTCATGGCAAACCTCAACGTAGTAATAATGTACCCTTGACCCAGGTTTCCTATTGTATTTACCAACGCTTCCTAGAAAATTAACATGCTTCCTGTTTAAATCCATTTTCTGCATACATCACAATTTTTTTTGCTGCTAGAATCCCAATGTCTTCTCACAAAACCCATTTTATTCCAGGTAAAATCATAGTAATTTCCTGGTAAACCATACCCTCTGGTAAACATACAAAACACTATGGAAGGATCCACCACTTTATAGCTGGGGTAAATCAACTATTTCGATGGCCATTTTCAATAGCAAACTGTTAGTTTACCAGAGGGTAACTAGTAACCATTAACCATAGATTATCCATATATTAACCATAGATTAACCATAGATTGAAAATGGTTGATCTGGTCTCCAAGGCAGGCCACCCCTTCTCATAGCTTCGCTCCACTGCGCGCCCCATGCGGGTGGCGGTGTAGCCTACGAAGCTCCCGAACTCCACCATGGTCTTGTGCCTGAGTTGTGGGTCCCAATGGGATGTGAAAAAAATCTTGACATCATGGATATAGATATATATATATATATGTATATATACATATACATATGTATCTATTATACAAAGTATTTACCATTTATGTATATATATATATATATGTAATGAATGTGCGCATACTTCTTTACGACTCAGTTTAAAAGCAAAACAACCAATATGTTATACATCTTATATATATATCTATTTCATATGTATATATATATATTTATGAGATATGATATGTAATGTGTATATATATTATACTATACATATTAGATATATTCAACTACTTATATTAGATTATATATTTGATATATTATATACTAATAGATATAAGCTATACCAGCCATCTAACTACAACTTTTATAATCAACTATTGCATTTGATATATTCAAATATATTAGATGATATTAGTCAACTACTATCAATATAATCCCTTCTCCCTAATACTACTATCAAAATAAAACCTCAGGTAGTTTTTATTCTTAGGAGGTATTTTTTATTAGGGTTCCCCCTAATAGTAATCTTAAAACCCTAATATAAAAACTATTTTGTTCCATTTCAAAATCGATTAGATTTCCCTTTAAAATCTAATTAAAATATTGCCAACAAATTGGATTTTGAAGCTGTCCCCTAATATGAAATTAAAAACATTAATATGAAATACTGTTTTTTTCGACCTTAGAAGACGCATCCTAATTAAAAACACCCCGGGGCTGACTAGGTTTTATTATTACAGTAGGGGATGAAACCCTGAAATGGTAGCTTCAAATTTAAATTGTTTTCTAAAGGATATCAATTAAAAATCCAATTGGCCAACCTCAATTTTTCCAAAATTGGAGACGGACCCTAGTTTTTATTGATGACTATTATATGATATGTATTATACATCATTCAAATATATATATATATACACATATTAGATATATTATACATATTAGATATATTATACATATTAGATACAGTAAATTATACATATTGGATATATTCAACATTATTCAACTACTAAAATAGTCATTAATAATAGAGAAACAAGGGGAAAAACACAAAACCACAAGTTAATCTCCCTTGTCCCATAGATCAACAAGTGCAAACCCTTTTACGCTATGCACTTGAGCCATGCAGTCGGTAGACATTAATTAATCCTACCTCGCTACGTGGCTACTACCCCATTAACTAACGCTTCTAGTTATGGGGATATGAACATTGAAATAACTGTACAACTACTTTGGTGGTTGGACTCATAGCTACAGTCAGGAGTGAACTAATACTAGTATATACAGTGGTGGTATAGGGGTCGTAATATTTCTACTCCCCCCTACCCGATCTAACGCTGGCAACTAGTGTACAGGTTAGGGCGCTAGGTAGCAGCCCCTCCCCTGGATTTAAGTTCACTACCTAAATCTACGCGGATGCCAAGCAAGCGCAGTGCCGGGGCCCACTTTTGGGGTGGCAACGCCTTAGTAAAAATGTCTGCAGCCTGACTGTCGGTCTGACAGTATTCAAGCTCGGCGGAATCGTCTCGAAAGACTTCGGAAAGGCCGGACAGATTTACTTTATGGGTGCGAGTGATATGCCTAAGTTTAGGGGAATAACCTTTACGTACTACCAGGATGGTAGCTTGGTTATCTTCTAAAACTCTAAGCGTCACTGTGCGCCCTAGGAGAAGCTCCCAGAGTTGCAGGGCCGGCAGGCCTTCTTGGTAAAGGGAATAAGCCAATGAAACCACTTCAGACTCTGTTGTAGAACGGGATGTGGATGTTTGGCGTTTGCTAACCCACGCAAGGGGGAAGAAGGAGTTAGGCCCATATAGAACTAAATACCCACCGGATGTGGATTTTCCACTAAGACGATCACCGGCGAAATCTGCGTCAACATATGAACGTAACTCAAGATCTTCGGGATTATCTTTGATGGTACCCACTAGACGGTATTGGGGTGTAGAGTCTATGTATTGAATGAGTCTTAACAACCTCTTATCGTCCCCCCTGGACCAAGACTGCACTTTAGTGGCTAAATCATTTATGGGTTTGATTATATCAGGTCTGGACAGCCGACCAAGCCACAACGCCTTCATAAGAATGCGGCATGCATTGGGTGCCAGTTCACCTTTAGCCTCTTCATCTTCAACAGAGACAGAACCATCAGGTACAAAAGGAGTGGCAGCATGCTTCAAACTTTTGGTGTTGGTGATGGACTTATAAAGATCAACTGTTTGGTGTGCATAATCTAGCATGTCAAAGACTAAGGCTTCTTGTGCGCGAAACGCAGCACATTCCTCGGAACCTTCGGTTTTGGACAATCACATTACTAGATGGTTGCGACCCAAAATTCGGTATATTGGCTCAGGTGGTTCTATATCCACACCGGATGTCAGCTTCGCCCAAAAGGCATCATGTTGGTCTGAGGGACCAGCAAGTGTGAGATCATCACGTAGGTGGAGAGCAACAACTTAGTATCTGGGAAAAAGAAGTTACCAGGGTACTCGGGTACCTCTTGGCCACCTAGGTTGCGGATAATTTTCTTAAGGTGCTGCTCCCAAAGGCCACCGGCATCAGGATGACCGTATCAGGCTTTAACTAGGAGGACTACGGGTTTAACAAACTTATCTCGCCAATGTTTTGGCCTTAGCTCGGGCGGAAGTTCTATCCAGGTCTTATATTTTGTACTTCGAAGACGTATGCCAAACAAGCATTCAAACCTTGAACCGAAGTCGGGTTTGCCCCTAGCTCCTGGTATACCGCAGCGGCACCGTGTTCATCCTTCGCACAATCCCCTCGGTAGACGATTCTACCTTTCATCTTTTGTAGATGTTGTGCGAGTTCAAAGAACTTTATGGATGCTATAGTCATGAGTTGTCCGAAATGGACAGACACTCCGGTGCGCTTTGCCTCTGCGCGGACATCCTCCTTCTCCCGGACTGAGTCAAGTGACCACGTCCCAGCCTTGATGAGTCCGTCGGCCTCGGCCTTAACAGCATCAAGTGCTTGCGGGTTTGACAACATCTCCGCCCTGGAAAGCAACTTAGTTACCATGGCTTGAACCTCTTTGGAGGGTTCATTGCTATCTTCATGCCCGAAGGCTTGTGATAACAAACGCTCATGGTCAAGAAGCTCGGACACTAAACAGTTTACTGTTGGATCTGTTTCAATGGCAACTGCAAGATCCTCAAAACCAGCTAGTGGGGAAACGTGTTTAAAATGTTGTTCAACTTCGCGGTGCTCTTGGGGTTCGGTTGAAAGTGGAGTACATGGCATTGCGGGGGCATGTTGTTGAGAACACTTAGCAGGGTACAGCGCTTGAGTAATCAAAAATGCCATCTCTGGGGGATACATAGCTGATCGCGCCGTTTCCGAACCTTCACACTTTTCATGTGGTTGTTCACAACTGCACTTTTTATCCTTAAAAACATCTACTATTCTTTGGGAAGTGGTTCGGACTCTCCAAGGCTTTTTGATGGGAACACCTTTCTTGGACTTAAGACCTACTGCACAACCATCGAAATCAACTTCCATAAACTCAGGGTGAGAATTAAAGAAAGCTACGACATCTGGTCTCTTCCAGCCAGTTGAGGGACGTGGCCATTCAAAAGAAACAGTGCCTCCTAGTTTCAAAACTAATTCTGCCCTTTTGGAAAAGCTTTTGAAAAGTCGTTTCGATTCTCGGAGTTGGAGCGCTAATCTTTTCATGTAAGCAGCTCCTCCCTTCCGTCTATTGATATACTGCCAAGGAGAACCAGACGTGCATGGTATGGACGACCAAAGGTTAGGTGGTGCAACTTTTGCGGCTTCACCTATTTGATAATCAAGTTGGGAACATTGATTCTCATCACTTAAGTCTATCCTTTCCTTGCATAACCCAATGTGATTTATGTTACATTGCTCACTTGTCAACCCAAGCTGTGAGTTGAGGGAACATGCAAACTCAAACAGTGTTGATCTCTCATTGGATTTCTGGCTTTTCTTCAAGGCACGTCGTTTACGACGGTTATTGTTATTCTTAGGAGGCTGATTACTGCGGGGCATGCAGGCACGGGCTGTGCACCGAACACTGGCAAGGAATCCCTACTTAGCTCAGCACGGCTGGGAGCGGTCTGGGGCAAAGTGGCAGCACCAGAGACACTATAAGGAACGGCAATTGTGATTTCACCTTCATCATCAAATATGCCGTCTTCCGGTGGTGGTCCCACGGGGGCATCCTCAAGCGCACTGGGAACTTCGCTAGGAGGTTCGCAACTACCGACTCTGATATGGGCTTTGACTTGGCTTCCAGCTCCTTTTCTTCATCAACTAGTTTCTGGAACCGTTTGCGGCACTCTGCATTATGGTACCGAGTCTTATTCTTACACCCTGTACAACCGGGAGTCTCCTTAAACTTTATGATGCGGTCTAAGGTGATATAAACCGATCTAGGTTTGGGACCGGGTGTAGATGGGGAAGCTAAACCGCCGTCTGGTGGAAACGGAACATTTTGCAGGGCTATTTCAGGAAGTTTAACATCATCGGGATCATCCCCCCTGATCAAGGCCTGATGCTTCGAAAAACCAACGGGAAAATAGGCATCACCATCTGGAAGGTATAGTTCAGGCTCGGGTATATCGGAAACACATGACGCACCTCTAGTTCGAAACTCTTGATAATCTAATATCCGAACAACATATCTGTAACGAAAACCAGAATCGATTCGCCAAACAAGAAACAAACCAGGAGCCATATTGGGTTCTAAGGTCCTTTTTGTTGGATGCTTCTTGCGATAGTACACAAGTTGGCCAAAACACAAACGCTTACCATCAAACTTTTCACGTGTAAGAGCTTCCCATTGGGTCTTTTCAGGGTCCACAATAGAAGGTCTATCAAAAGTCATGGAAAGACATGCGTATGGGTAACTATAAGTGTGATACTCATAAGGCAAACCAGATTGTAAATGAACAACCCTACAGCACTCTTTCTCTTCCCGAATGTCGCGCTCTAGGAGAGCGTTGTG